AGTAGCAAAGAAGAATCAGTTGAAATGGCAAGCTTTTTTCTTCATTTCTCTAAATTCCATCTATGAAAAATTGGTGGTCAGAGTGACTTTCAAATTCTTTTTATGGGAAACAAGAATGGGATGTTTCTGAAGTGCATTTGCATAGTCTGGGAAGAGATACCTCTTGTAATCCTTTCTGTAGTTGAACACATCCAGAGAGGACCAGATTGGGAAAGGCCTCCATTTTGAATTTTGAGTTAATGTTATGGTCACTTTCAAAAAATGTTCTGCCACTATGGCTTATATATAGTGATTCACAAAACATCAATTTGCTGAAATACAAACAGGTTTCCCACAACCTCTCCTACAACCTCCTCCTTCTATCCCTCAAGATTCTTTGTATTATTAGCAATTACTTTTTTTTTCTTTGCTCTATCCAAATAGACCTACATCTAATGAAAGTGTTGGTCACCAATCATTAGTGTTTTCTAAATATGCTCCAGAATTCTAGTGAGACTCAGAGGCATGCTTGAAAATATAACTTTACATTATATGCAGATATTTTTTCTGCAGGTAATTTGCAATTTATAATTATTAAATGTTAAATTAATAACTTTTTAAAAATGAATGAGATATGAACATTCTGGACATTTGAAATACTCACTAAATTAACAAACATTTTTTACTAAATACTTATTAGATCCACAGTTGCAAAGTGATAGTAAAAAGGAAAAAAGATATCAATGCCATGCAAGTGTAGTACAAACAAATTAGCAGAAGGCAAATAAAGGTGACACAATAAAATATAATGTTTAAGTTAGGTATTTTAGAGTATCAACCAGGTATTATCTTTTCTAGTAATTTGTTTCCACTTCTCTGCCAGATTTCTGGTCTCCTTACCTCTTTTCTTTTCTTTTGCAAAAAGATGTGTTTCTCCAGATGGATTCATACCTCTTTTTTGTGGATGGACTCTTTGGCTTAAATGCTAGTATTCAGAGAACTAAATTCACTGTTAGTATAGTGGATTCTGAAATAACTCTGGATCTTATGTGGTGTACCCATGGGCATGAAATGGAACAGGGTTGACTGTCAGTAACTGTTTTTGAACTTTGTTGATGTTTAATAAATAAACGGCAAGTTATATTTTTGCTAGTTACACTGAGTTTGCTGTATATTCTAGACATATAGATTAAAATGGAAACTACCCACAATAATTTTCCAACAATATTATCTTCTGCAGTAGCTTCTATTGTTAATTGGATATCCAGCAAGTGTCAGTAATCACTAACTTTGTTAGAAGGAACCAGGCAAGTCTCTTTATTCAGCAATAGGGAATGGTAAGTTAGACGACTGGCTAGTTTCAATAACCTAACAAAATTTAGAATCACTATGACTGTCCTCAACTTGTTATAATTAGGCATGAGAACATGTTTGGTTTGACTATTAAATCCCTGAAGTGTGAAATAAATCACAATTTTAAACTATACAAATAGAATCCTGGTTCTTGCTGGATCCTTGAATTAGTGAAATTGGAAAAGCTGTGTAAAAAGTTGGCCTGTCATTAAAAAAAGGAATGTAATATGGGAATGCTAGTTTGATAGTGGTTCCCAGTGCAAAAAATCTCTGCCATCTTTTGAAGAGTAATAAGCCCATCTCTATATAAAAATATTTATAAGGCTTTGTTGCATGTGCCAGCCAGTATATAGGAGGATTATTTTGTTACCTTATATAGTCAAGTGGACATTTTGGGTTAGTGTGAACTCTCGTTTTGGCTTCTAGTCTCATATTCAGAAAATAGAAATGTAATTAAGCATCTTAGACCCTGAAAATCCCCAGGTTTAAATCTTATTACATATGAAATAATAAAATAATTTTGAATGATGGATTTTGGTGCTAGCTTCACTCTTCCCAGCAAAAGATTGTTTAATCAGATCTACAAGGTGCACGCTAAATATTTACAGAATAAATTAATTTACTGGATTGAATCTGAAGAAGTTCTAATAGATGAACAGGCAGGGTTTAGAACAGGTCAATCAAAATTAGGCCACGCTATGGTGCTGTAATGCCTAGTTTCATAAGTTCATTGATAAATCTAGACAGTTCCTTTATGCAACATTTATTGACTTTAGGTCCACTTTCAACATGTTTAAATAGTGGCATAAATTAAAAGAACATAGTTAAAGATCTACTTTTGATGCTCATTAAAATATAAGAGAATACCAAACTGAAGATCAGGTATAGCAATCAAGGAAATACCAGTAAAGAGGGGAGTTACAGCGATGTGTATTGGCTCCAGTTTTATCCAATTACTATATATATATTAGATAGTTTCTCACTTAAGTAACTTTACATTTCATCCTCTTAAATTAGCCCATAAACATATCAGTTTATTATTGCATGCCATTCATGCATAGCGTATCATTGCCATCAGTATTAACTTCCATTAGCCTTAAAAGAGCCTTGAGATCAATCTAGCTTTATTGTACAGAGAAGGAACCAGTAAAAAATTATTCTAAGATTCTCTCTTTTGCCAAATGCCAAAGAGATGCTGGAACTTGGTTTGGAAATCCATTGAGCAGATTAAGAGCTTTAAATATTTAGGGATAATTTTTCAATCTTCAGGGAGCAGAAATGTCCATCTGGATTATTTATCTCACAATGCACAGATATCTGCATCAGTTATTCAAACATTATCCCCCCCCCCCGAGGATCACAGTTTATCCTTCTTGCAATTAAATTGTCTGCAGCTAAAGCCTGAGTACTACTGCTACATGGGGCTCAACTGGGAACATATACCAACATAATTAACTTAGAAAGAATTCAAACAAATTTTTTGAGAAGCATTTTCTGTGTTACCAGCAGAGCTTTTGGAAGCTGGAGTCAATAAACTTGAATCCAATCTCCAATATCCAAAATATAATTTTCACTTACTGGTTAAAAGTATACCACAGTTATATAGTAGTATAGATTGACCCATTTATGCTGGGAGACTATTTCAAATCTTAGAAACCTATCCAAAAGAAACTGAGTCATTATGGCTTTTCCAGTGATAACTTATTATGTGAGCCAAGTCTACCAAACCTGGACTACAAAAGCAAGATCAAGCAAGACTAATATTAGGACAAAGGATCTTAGATATAGAATGCCTAAAAGAAATTGTTGCTTTTCTCACAATATAATTGCAAACAAAACCAAATTTCAGTGCCTAAACCAGTTTCATATTTATTTCACATCACAGTCCCTAATTTCAGGGTAAATGTGATGCTGGAACCTTCGTAAGTACATACCAGTTGCAAAGCATTCACATTTTGAACACATGACTATGGAGATGCCTCATTAGTTGCAAAATTCAATCATAAGTAATTGTTGTAACTTCAAATAGTTGCTGAAACAATAGTTGTATGTCGATGGTTGTATGTATTCATTTCATGATTGGATTGTTTTCACAGAGCATTTGTGATTAAGAAAGGTTCGGATTTTTAATTATGTGGAAAAGTTTTTATGAATCGAGGAACCACTCCGGCATAACCAGTTGTCTGCCGATCATAGAGGAGGATGCAAAAGGACTGTGACATTTGCACACACTGCACTTCTTCTGAATATAATTAGAATATCATTGTTTTGTATAACATACACAGGAGGTGTATTTCTTTTAGAAAACATTTAAGTCTTTCTTCTCTTACTAGGTAGCAAGAATAGAATAGAACAACAGTTGGAAAGGATCTTAGAGATCTTCTAGTCTAACCCCCCTGCTCAAGCAGGAAATCCTATACCATTTCAGCAGTGCACTCCAATAGCACAAATCCTAGAGGAAATGTTAAACAGCTCATTTATCTGTTGTAATATGTATCTGTTTTTCTTCAGGGCTTGTATCCAGAAACCCATGGCATCATTGACAATAATATATATGATGTAAATTTAAATCAGACTTTCTCACTTTCTGGAAGTAACATGAGAAATCCTGCCTGGTGGGGTGGACAACCTGTATGTATCTTTAGTTTTGTTCCTTGGTGTAGATATACTTGATTTCCCAATAGCAAATTCTATTGTATTGAAATAACAGTAATGCAAATAGACTTCATATATAACTTCAAGGCAGCAATGTGACACTATGAAGATGTTGCAATTCCTTAGTAAGGAAACGGAAATAGGGAAGGTCCCCGTGAAAAAAAAATCATCCTGGCTTTATAGATTTCAGTTTTGATTGGCTCATAGTAAAGCACATTTAGTTTCTAAAAATTGCTGATGAGTGAGTATAGGCAGTCTTGGATGAAGAAAGATTTTAACCAGAATTTACATCACTCTGCTTAACAACTATTTCCCACAACACTGTCAAATAATTTACTAAGACTGTATTACTATTATTTTTCTCTTCCTTCCTAGTATTTATCTCTTCCTACTTATGACTATAACCATGTTACTTGTATCTTTCAATTTATATTGTTTTGAATTGTTCCCTAATATGATTTGATAGCTTATTAGTAACCTTGACTAACAGTAAGTGTTGTATCTTTTTATTCTTGATGAGTGTATTTAATTCTCCTTATGTACACTGAGAGCATATACGTCAAAGACAAATTCCTTGTGTGTCTAATCATACTTGGCCAATAAAGAATTCTGTTCTATTCTGTTCTGTTCTGTTCTGTTCTGTTCTGTTCTATTCTATTCTATTCTATTCTATTCTACATATTACCATATTACCATACTTGTACTTTTGCATATCAGGGATCAACAACAACATCAAAGTTGTAACCAAAGTTCCTTGTAAAGTTTGAATGTATAACTTTCATATTTTAAAACTAGATTATGGGAAAAATTGACTTCCAGCAAAGAGCATCCAATTCAAGAAGAAACTCTTTTGAATTCAATCTCTCACTGTCCAAATTTTGGACACATGTCTGTCAAGATGCTGCAACCGTTGCAAAGATTAGTCCTAGTAACTATTGTAATTTCAGCGAAGGCAAAAATGATCTGACTCAAAATGGCAGACAACATTCTCCTTCCTTCAGCAGTCGAGCCTCTGAAACTGCACAACACATTCATGAACTGCTGAAAAAAGGTTGCATGCTGTATTAAAAACGCACATACTACTTTGTGACCCTCGTGAAAGCTTTAACACTTCATTGGTTCAAGAAAGGAGAATGTCATCAACTATTTTGACTCAGATCATGCTGCTAACAGCTGTCTGGCACATTAACTATTGTAACAGGTTAACTGTCTGCCATTTTGTAACAGACAGCCCTATTAGTATCTATAGGTTCTCTTTAAATTGCACATCTGGGGACTGCTTGTTGAGACCTTGTGACGTGAGGTTTTACAGTTGGCTCATTTTTAAGATACTAATGCTGTGCACACTTCTTGCAGATTTGGCATACAGCAACCTACCAAGGTTTGAAAGCAGCCACCTACTTTTGGCCTGGATCTGAAGTAAAAATAAATGGATCTTACCCAACCATATACAAAGTTTATAACAAGTGAGTTAAAGATGAAAAAAATAATTTGGATCTATCCAGTAGTGGGATTCAAATTCTTTTACTACCAGTTCTGTGGGCATGGCTTGGTGGGCGTGGTGTGGCTTGGCGGACGTGGCTTGACGGGTGTGGCAGGGGAAGGTTACTGCAAAATCCCCATTTCCTCCTGATCAGCTGGGACTTGGGAGGCAGAAGGGGCGGGGCCAGTCAGAGGTGGTATTTACTGGTTCTCTGAACTACTCAAAATTTCCACTACCGGTTCTCCAGAACTGGTCAGAACCTGCTGAATATCACCTCTGGTTCTATCAGCTACAGATATTTTAATGGGAATATACTTTTTTAATCAATAGGACACCCGAAGTGCTGGAAAATGTATTACAGTTTCCAAATCATTATTTAGTAAGCCTTTACCACGAATGATATCCTTGAATGAAGCTCAACTACTAATGATTACACAGACATTGCTGTGGTTGATTTGAATGGGTGCTTCGTTCATGCAGCCATTGAAGGGAAGTATCTCTTCGAAGATCTACATGGTCTTTCCCATTTCCACATATTAAATAATGTCAGCATTAAGAAATGCTGAGGAGCCAAGGTGGCGCAGTGGTTAAATGCAGCACTGCAGGCTACTTCAGCTGACTGCAGTTCTGCAGTTCGGCTGTTCAAATCTCAC